CCCTAAAATATTTTTATTTTTATTCTCTTTAAATTAGAGTTGCGGTATCCTATATTTCAGAATAGGACGACAAAATTACCAGAAATTCTGTGTGATTTTTTTTATAATTCATAAAGATATAAAAACAATTTATGTAATATTATAAAAGTTACCTTATTTTTGAGACTGTTAGACTATATATCTGAATATATTGTATTATCTCGTCCAGAAGGCGATCAGTCATGCTATCAAAATCAGCAAAAGTATCATTCTAAACAAAAGCGAAATAGATACGTTATATACTGAATATGTGTAATTACATAAAACACTGAATATAAACATTATTTTTAATTTAGGTATTAAAAATATGGTTGAAGACCAGTGGTTTTTAAAGAAGTTAGTGAATGTAATATTCATTATATTAAAATGAACAAGTAGTGAATTTCTAGGGAAAAAAAGGCTCACTGTTCTTAACACTTCATTTAGGTAATCGTTTAGTCCACTATCAACACTGAACATAAGGTTATTTATAATGGTTTAATTAAAATATTTGCACAGAATGTGAAATTCTAGGAATTTTGCACATGTAAAAAGCTCATAAATCAAACTGTAAATCACTTCTACTTCCTTAGGCTACGCATTAATTGTTAAACTTCATAGAAGTCAGAAAAATTCTATCTACTACTACAGGCATTTTGTAGTCAGCAAAAATTTAGGTAGAAACTGGTAGAAAAATGTGTGCTTCCACTGAAAACACAGCTATCTGTACCTGATTTCTCTCAGACATAAGAAAATCAATTCTTTCCCCAGGCAGTCCAAGTTCAATGTAAGTTTTTACTAACCGGAGATCTGCACTGTTACCTAGAAAATGAAGAAAATCAAAGTTATACCTAAGGGACGAGATAAAGCAAAAGGTACAATGCGCACCCTCATACTCTGTTACACTTCTTGGGGACAAGCGTAGGCCTATGCCAGCTGTGAAGAGACAAGGCCCTGGGAACCAGAATCCTCAGTGTCTATTTCACAGCAGATTTCCATCAGCTGGCAATGGCCTCCAACAGCCTGTCTCTTCAGAGGTCTGGTCGCATTGATGCTCTCGCCACCGCCCCCCGCCCCCCCCCAGCAGCGTGTCTGTCTCCCTCCCTATAACATGGGATAGTGTGTTCCTTGAAGATTTCAAAGAGGAATTTACCAGAGATTCTACTGGGCCAAGAAGCCTTTCTTGGATTATAATTCTTTGAAAATTTTATTAGTGGGGGGAAAGAGGTTAGTATTAGAGATATTTTATTCCTTGAGTCACGGTTTTGTTTTTCTTAAAGAAAAATCTCCAATTTCATAAGAATTTACTAGCTCAGACCTGTGTTTAGCATTTTTATAATCCATAAAATCTTTTGTCAATTTGTTGCTACAGAATCACCTTATAACACAGTAATAGTCTGCTAGTCCAGAGATATTTGGTGTCTTCTAACATAGTTCCTAACCAAGAAAAATAGGCTGTTGAGTAACCAAAACAGCTGTCACAAAACCACAGCAGTAAAACAAGGTATTAAGAATTTAAGTTATACCCTGATTAATCAATGAATCTTTAATTCTTAGGTATTGATTTTTCTTGTCCATAAGGTTTAAAGCAGCAAGCTAAAAGGGAAGCAGAAAGATGATCAAAGGGAGACAAAATGATTGCCACGAGGTGACAGCTGACAAAAATAATAAAAAGAGAGAAGACAGAAAAATCCGAAGTTAAAATAAGTAAAATGTTGGCGTGTAGATGTCAATTCCATGGAAAATTTACTTTACAAAGAAATCTAATATTATACGCAGCAAAATTAAGCACATCTCTGTTTTAGAGAGTATTTAAGATTTAATTAATATCAGCAATTCAGAAATCTTTTTTCAGGTCAAAGATTAAATAAAACTAAATGGGATCTACTAGGAAAAGAAAAGATTGAGCTGCTACGGGTTACACGTGCAGACGTTACGTACCGTCCAGGCCATGCACACACACAATGAGATGGACTCCGCCTTCGGAACAACCCTCTTCCTCCTCTTCCACACAGAAATAGGGCACTGAGGATGCCAGAAGAGGGACATCGCTGTACATGAACCCAGGGAGCTTAAGGTGCTTCAATTCTTCTTTCGCCTGAAGGAAGCTGAAGCAAAACAGTGTAAAAGACACTCGTTACTAAGTATTATATTCAGTTTTTAGAACCCAAAAGATAATCTGCTGCATTTAGAGAACTGCAGAAGAGGAAACCCAGAAATACTTGATTTTAAAATAATGAAAATATGTGGGCTCACCTAAATGATTTAGAAATCAGAGTACCTTTTTTTTTTTTTTTTACTATTTTTTAGTACATATTCTGATCAAATACAATGAGTATTTAAAGCCTGACATCACTTAAAAATATTCTTTTAAACTTGAAATCCACTAAGAAAACACTGGGAATGGAGTTATGCTTTCTACTGAATTTTATACTGTATGCACAGAAAAGACGGGAGAAGTATTGCACAGAGGACAGTCTGATGCTGACCCTGTGATCAAATCTTACCCTCTTTGCTCCTTTTTAATCTTATATAAAAGGCAAAGGAGATATTCTACACAGTGTAGCAGTGAGAATGGCAGGTATAGTATTTAGTAGATGAGGTTATTTGTATTTTTCTCTAAAAATACCAATAAGAAGGAACAGAACTAAGAGGGGGATGTGATTAAATAAAATTGGTGGCAGACACTCATTTACTGATAGAATAAGTGACATTTCTAATCAACCTGGGGACTGAGAACGTCAAAGATTATTAACTATCGTAACATTAGATCATTTGGACTGATAAAAGTAAAACTCCAAGAAGCTGATGAACACTAAACTGAGCGGGACACACTGGGTGAAGAATACAGACCACTGCTTGCACTAATGACTCAGAAGAGTCTGAGGTACCCAGGAGGTGGTGCAACCTTCAGCTTCCCAGCACATTACAAGTCTTCAATGGGCTGTTCTCACCTTGCTAGGTTCACTAGGTGTGGGCACCATGGGTCTTACTTATGTGTATACATCAGAATGATCTGGGAACTTAAAAAACCTACAGTAGATATGCCCAGACATTTTATTCCAGGGATTATAATTCCATCTGGAATAAGGTAGTAGAAAACCAGTGCCATGCTAGTAAACCTATGTCATGCTCAAAATTTTCTGGATTTTTTTTTACAGGTCCATGAAATCCCAATTCTGGAAACACTGACTTAGCTGAGGCAATCTAAGTCTGGTAGGCTTTAGGAAGTTTCTAGCAATTATCTAATATTGTCCTTATTTGCTAGATATAAAACCTAACTTTGGTCTGGGAGTTAACCAGGGGAGAGATGAGGTATTGATGGGGAAAAAAGGGTTTTAGTCTCAATTATTCCATACTTCTACCATAAAGTTACCAATGGAAAATCTGTAGGCAAGTCGAGCCTACAGAACAGGACAATCATACTGGGAACTGCAGGTCTGTCTGTTAAAGAGCATAGTGAGTTCACTGCTCCATTTCAGACAGCTAATCGAAGAAGCACTTTCTGTATTACAGAAACCAGAGAACGTGAAATATGTATGTTACTGGAGAAATATACATATATGTTCTCTCTCTCTCTCTCTTTAGTAGCATGCGCTATTGTGCTCCATTACTTACGCTTGTATTTGAGGTTTTGGTGAATTTTCATACCAGGACAGTGATGAGGTGAAGTTGTAAGAAGCGCTGCTTGGCTGCTTTGTAATTGCATCACATTTACTCTTAGAAGAATACTTAACACTGCAAGGAGACTCCCGTGGTGCAGATGGGAAGGACAGACAGCCGGAGGTGCAGACAGTAGGCACGGTTATACCATCCCTCAGATGGTCAGTGCTAATCCTTCCGGATTTGACAGACCCTTCTCCTCCTGGGGCGCCTCGGTCTGCACAGTGAGCACGTGCCGCCCCACCCGGGGCGGGGTCATCTGTCTCCCCATGATACCCATTTTGAACCATTCGCTGGTCCTGCTCTTCTTCCTCCTCCTCTTTATCCTGGTCCTGCTGA